TTCCCTTCAATATGAAAGACAAGTTATTGCTTCTTGTACCCACATAATTAATAAAAGGCACAATGCTTGGTGGACCTCTTTAGAATTGGCAACAACGTGTACCACATTTAAATAGGCTGCTCTGACTAATTTTCCAGAAATTCACAAGATGCAACCTACTTATAAGGAAATATAAAGTAGGCCTCAGACAAGAGGAGGCTCTCCAGCCAGTTCTGGCTGTGCTGTGAGATGCCCTAACACTTGACTTTTTGACCTACAGAATCTCATGGTGCTCAAAGTAGCCTTTGGGATTTGGAGCAAATTCATGTCCTCTACAGTAAATAATTATTCTCCTTTTGAGAAACAGTTCCTGGCTTATTACAGAACCCTTATGGACACTGGTACATCTAAGTGAGCCTGAAATGCTCTGGCACTCCACTTCTGGTGCCAGCCATATCATGCAAAACCAGTAAACCAGGTTTGATTTTTTTTTTCTCCTTGGTATTAGGAACTTTCATGAGATCATAGGTGTGGGTTAAGGTGAAGGTAAACAGTACAGTAAGAGTATAGACATTGAGTGCAAGCTCATATAGTTTACTCCTGTGTTTAAGGACAAGCGTGAGTTCAATCTTGTATATACCACTTCTGCTTGATGCTGGCATGGTGCTTGCTGAGCATGCCTGACCTACAGTGGGGAAGAGAAATGATCCCAGGGTGAACTCAGAGCAGTGTTTCTGGTTGTTCAATTTACATGAAGGTATGGCAAGAGATAACATTTAATGGTTTGACCAGAGGGTCAGAAAGTTGACAGCTCCAAGAAAGAAACCTGGTCTGGTGCGGTGGTCCACACTTGTAATCCTAGTACTTTGGGAGGCTGAGGCAGGAGGATTGCTTGAGGCCAGGAGTTCCAGACTAGGCAGAGCAAAAGTGAGACCTCATTTCTACAAATAAATAGTGAGCTATGATGACACCACTGCACTCTAGCCCAGGGGATGGAATGAGACCCTGTCTTGGAAAAAAAAGAAAAAAACCTGGGAACTAGGAAAGTAAAGTATGTGGATGAGCATCTCAGAACAGGCCCCAAGTATAAAGATATGTATTTCCTGTGTGAAAGCTTATCAAAAGCCCACTTCTATAGGGAAGGCTCTTAATATTCAGGTGGACAACATAGCCTATACTGTGGATATTGGTTAGCCTCTTTCTCCAGCCACCCCAGTGCTTACTCAGTTGTGCTAATTTCTGGAAAAATTCCCTCATATTCTTTCCAACCCATTTTTTCAGTCTTTTTTTTTTTTTCTTTAAAGACAGAGTCTTATTCTGTAGCCCAGGCTGAAGGGCACTGGTACAATCATAGCTGACTGCAGCCTTGAACTCCTGGGCTGAAGTGATTCTTCTGCCTCGGCCTCCCAAGTAGCTGGGACTACAGGCCTGCACTATCACACCTAGCTAATGCTTCTATTTTTTGTAGAGATGCGGTCTGTGTTGCTCAGGCTGGTTAAGTTTTCCAGTCTTTGGTAGTGTCCATTCTGCTATTCAGTCCATCTAGTAAGCAAGAGTAATCTTATTTTTAATTTCTAAGAACTAACTTTATTACAGCAACTTGTTCTTGTTGCAATAGATGCAATTGTCCCATCAGTCTCTTAGAGCTGCATTCCCCAACCCCTGGGGGACGGGTACCAGTCCATGGCCATTAGGAACCAGGCTGCTCAGCAGGAAGTTAGTGGCAGGTGAACAAAGCTTCATCTGTATTTACAGCTGCTCCACATCTCTTGCATCACTGCCTGAGCTCCGCCTCCTGTCAGATCAGCAGCAGCATTAGATTCTCATAGGAGCAGGAACCCTACTACAAACTGCGCATGTGAGGGATCTAGGTTGCGTGCTCCTTGTGAGAATCCAATGCCTGATGATCTGAGGTGGAGCTGAGGCGGTGATGCTAGCACTGGGGAGCAGCTGCACATACAGATTATCATTAGCAGAGAGGTTTGACTGCACAATAAATAGAATTCACTTGAACCATCCTGAAACTCTCCCCACCTTTCCACCCCATCTGTGGAAAAATTGTCTTCCATGAAATCGGTCCCTGGTGCCAAAAAGGTTGGGCACTGCTGTCTTAGAGGATATTAGTTTTTGTTTATCCCCTTAGGGATTCATTTTGTTTGTTTGTTTGTTTGTTTTTTTGAGACAGAGTCTCGCTTTGTTGCCCAAGCTAGAGTGCCATGGCATCAGCCTAGCTCACAGCAACCTCAAACTCCTGGGCTCAAGCAATCCTCCTGCCTCAGCCTCCCGAGTAGCTGGGACTACAGGCATGCGCCACCATGCCCGGCTGATTTTTTCTATATATATTAGTTGGCCAATTAATTTCTTTCTATTTATAGTGAGACGGGGTCTCACTCTTGCTCAGGGTGGTTTCAAACTCCTGACCTTGAGCAATCCGCCCGCCTCGGCCTCCCAGAGTGTTAGGATTACAGGCGTGAGCCACCGCGCCCGGCCGGGATTCATTTTTATTTGTTGGATTTGGCTCCTCTCTGGTAGTAAGTATCCCTCAAATGTTTAATGCTTGGTTATGTGTTCATTTTTTCATTTATGAATTCTTGTTACCTGGGGGTGAATCCAAGTTCTAGTTATGGGCTGGGCGCAGTGGTGTATTCCCAGATACTCAGGAGGCCAAGGTGCGAGGATCACTTGGGCTCAGGAGTTCAAATCCAGCCTGGGCAACATAGTGAAACTTCATCTGTAAAAAAGTAAATACATAATAAGTTCTAATTACGGTGTCTTGCCTCTGTTGTGGGAGATGGGAAGGAAAAAGGAAGGAGGTGTGCTTCATTCTCTAGGCCCCTCCAGAATTCTTTCTAATGAGGTCTAAACTTTTGGCTCTAACCAGAATTCAGTGCCAAGATCAGCTGTTCCCTTCAAACTTTTGTTTTGCTCTGATGCCCTTAGAGGATATGAAATTATTAATACTTCAGGTTCTATTCTTTCTTTTTCCAACTCCTATACTTTAATAGCTCTTACTGCTGATCCTCAATACCAAGAAAGGGAGTAAGGCTCAGCTGTAGGGCTCATTCTTTGAATGGCTCACTTATGACCTCCTCCTACTTTTTTTCTTTTTTTAAGAGACTCCTGACCTCAAGTGATCCTCCTGCCTCAGCCTCTGCAGTAGCTGGGACTATAGGTGCGCACCACCACATCCAACTTTCTCCTTCTACTCTATGTATTAGTCTTGAGATTAAAATATTTGGAATTGTTCTTACCTCATTGGTAGTTTTCTCCTGCCCTGATTTGGGATGTGGGCTTTCTTATTATTATTTCTCTAACAATCCAATCTCATTCATTTTCCATCTTTTAGAAATTTCTATACATTTGTAATATCAATGGCACCCTTTTTGTTTCCTAGAATCACTTATGCATTTAATCTTCCAACAAAATATAATATGAACTATTTCATACACACAATAAAGTATAGGCTCTAATAGAATGCCCATGTGCCCAAAATCCACCTTGAGAAATAATGTATCACAAATAGCATTGAAATGTCCCCTGTGTGTTCCTCCCTCATCTGCCTCCCTCCCCTCCCCACTGGAAATGTTTAATGGGATTTGGGACAGGTAGAGAAGTAAGTGAACATGGTCAGTTTGCTATGTTGAGGCAATCAACATTGAATTCAAAAATTCAAAAATATTTCTCTAAAATAATAGATCCTGTTAAAGTATCACCTCAGGTGTTATTATTTAGAGCTAATGTCAAAAATTCTCTTTGAAGTCAAATATATTAAAACAGTATCTATCTGTGGCAGTAAAATTTCAAAATTAGGTGTTGGAGTGATAGAAACTTTGATGCTAATGATAAAGGATTAGGGTCTATGTTCATTAATTTCAGAAATGAATTTGTAGTGTCTCAAAAATGAGGACTATGGGAGCTAAACTGTATAGAAATTAGTTTACTATCATAAGCATGTGAAAACACACACACACACACACACCCCATTCTCAGCAGAATATAATAGGAGATACCAGGTAGAGGCATGCTTGGGAAAGGCATCTTTGAGGAATGACCCAGTTCCTCAAAGGAAAAACACCTGGTTGGTGATGGTAGTATGCGGGCCTAGGATGAGGTCCTGACAAGCCAAGGAAAGCCTTTTAAATGAAGACTTATCTTTTTACCTCCAACTACATCACCTTGAAATTCTAACATAGTTATTTATGCTGTTTGGCTGCAAAAACATTTATGCCACCAGACCTTCGTGCTATACTGTCCACAATTATATGCTAGTAACTGGATATCATACAAACATACAGAGTCACTTTGCAACTCTGTAATGATAACCAGTCTTGGTGTAGGGAGGGCTGACCAGGCCCTAACCCAACACAATCCAAATACGACTGTAGTGGACAACTCTTTCACTCTGCCCAGCATCCATCATTTCACTTCAATTTCCTTTGGAAAACAACCTTCTTTCATTCTAGGACATCTGAGTAGGACTGTCAAAGCCCCTTAAGCCATGGGGTAGATGCACAATCCTAGTGAGGGTGAACAGACTGCTAAGAATTTGATTCATGAGCACAAAAAAATAAGACAGAAAATATAGGAGCTGAGATATTTTGATGGCAGGGCTCTAGAAAGGCTGTCCCTAAATTTTTATAACTTAGATTCCTAAAGTTACCCTGGCTTTTCTCCTTCCTAAGGCTGCTGGTCCAGCTTTTTCTTACATTTTATGAGCTATCCTCTGTCCTGCTGATAAATTTTGTTTTGCTGAAGGTAGCCCAAATGAGTTTCTATTGCTTGCAATTTAAAAAGCCTACCTGATCTATTCATTGAAATCGCTGTCAGCTGTCTCTTTAAATTGGAAATCTGGAGCCTCTAACGCCTTTATATGTCTACTGTAGATCATATAAAAGAGTTTTAAAACAAAACACTAACATGTGTATCAAGAGTTCTTGAAAAACCCTGAGTTAACTTCAAATTTCTTTTCATGCTAAAAACAAGTACTTATTTATGAATAAAATAATACATTTCTGCCAACACAGTATTAACAAAAAACACTTTATTAAATCCACTTTAGTCTCCATCCTTTCAAACTTAGTCTAAGTAAAAAATAAACATTATACACCCATAAGTTTAGTCTTTCCAATTTTAATACGTATAAATAAATTTTTTTTAAATAAAATACTTAGCTCTAAGAAAGATAAATCAATTCACCGTGAAAACACTTCAACTAATTCCTGGTTATATTCACACAAAACTGCCTTCTAAGGAAACCTGACCAGTGAGACAGTGAAATCTATGCTTTCAGCTATAAAGAATTAAACCTAAAATGCATTCACTCTTTCATCTTCTAATGAAAAATAACCTACTCTCAGAAACAGCATAAGCACTGTTATGGTAGTCTAGCTCCTAAATGAAAATATGGGCTGAGTTACATTTTACAGTAATAACCTAGCTAAGAAGCCTTTGAAAATTAGCAGTGGATCAAAGGATTTACATAAATTCAAGGCTTTATCTTAGGATGAAAGGTAACACAGTTCCTTAACCTCTTATAAAAGGAACACTGAAATTAAGCCTTTCAGTCATAACCAGTCAAGACTTTCATTCAGAATTGTTTCTTAAATATCAAATTTCTCTTCACAGACACTATGTCCATTTTCTTCATAATCTTCTCTGGTTACCACCATATCTTCAAAATCATCATTCTCTGATATCAATTTTCCACCTTCCCACGCATAAGTGATAGGGCTGAAAATAAAGGTAAAATAAATGAACCCAGATGATTTTACAGAACAACTGTAATATCTGAAAACATTAATTACTAACTAAAATATGGCAAGCTTTACCCAACATAATTTAACAAAAAATCATTCAAGGTGTAAAAAGAAGCATACGTTTCACACAAGTAGAGCAAACTCGAAAGGAACCTTGGTCACCACTACAAAATAGTAAGTGTTCTTTTTTCCTTATGCCCTGAATTTATGGGCCCTCTACTTCTTTTTTTTTTTTTCTGTTTTGAATTTTTTTTGCTTTCCTTTTTTTATTTTTTGTTATTTTTTTTCTTTTTCCCAGCTCTCTATCATGATTAAAAGGGCCCTCTACTTCTAATGAAAAAACAAGAATATGAGCAAAAGATCAAAAGATGCTTAAATGGAAAAGCAATGTCATAACTGAGTCTAAATTCTGTATGTGGCAAGGATACGTCATCTCATTAATCCTCAAAGCAATCATTGAGGTAGTCATTGTAACTCCCATTTTATAGATTTGGAAAATGAGGTTCAGAGAGAACTAGGATTTAACTCAGAACTATCTTCACAGTCTGTGCTTTTGTTGCTATACTTTGTTGCTTCTAATAAATGAAACATTTAGAAAACATAGTACATGATAAGAAGTTACATGGTGGGACACAGACAATAGGTGAAATTAGAGCAGGTAAAACATTTAGTTTGGTTTTGCTATGTATAACCAAGGCTATACTTTGTACTATGACTCAATTCTATTTCTACTGTTCCTCTACCCCAAGTCAGAGTTGCAAATCTGAAAAAGGTAAAGAAAAAGGTTAATAAATGTTTTTTATTATATTTCCATTAACCTCTTATAAAAATAGATTTATATATAAATACATGAAAATTTATATACAAAAGCAGATGTACAATAAACTTCATTTCATTTGATAAATTTGTTGAATAAAAGAATAAAACGTATTTCTGTAGATCCCTTTGCCTGTAATCTATGCATGCAGGATAGAAATCCAATACACCTCATATTCTAAAAAGTATATGAACATTATTGCTGATAGAAATCATCCTAATAATCATTCTAATATTAGAATAACCATTCTAATCATTCTGATAGAATATTCTAATATTCTAATATTAATAATCACTTATTCTTTTATCTCATAGCTATGAATGAATAAATGAAAGTGATACAGATGAGGGCCTTCTATTAACTGCTATTGATTTTGAAAAATTCTACCTTAGCTTTAAAACAAAGCTCTAAAATTAAGAATTAGGTATACAGGGTTTTGTTTGCAACTCTGCCACTCACACTAGGAGTGACTTTTTTTGTGGGGTACAGGATCTAGCTCTGTTGCCTGGACTAGAGTGCAGTGGTGTCATCATACCTCATCGCAACCTCAAACTTCTGGGCTCAAGGGATCCTTCTGCCTCAGCCTCCTGAGTAGCTGGGTGTCTGGATGCAAGCCACCACACCCAGCTAATTTTTTTTTTTTTTTGGTAGACACAGGGACTTACTATGTTGCCCAGGTTGGTCTGGAACTCCTGGGCTCAAGCCATCCTCCTGTCTTGGCTTACCAAAGTGCTAGGATTACAGGTGAGAGCTATCATATTCAGCCAGGAGTGGTTTTCTGTACATATATTTTGGTAAGAACTCCTGATTCAAGGCAAGAGACTGGGTTTTAACCTGGTCAATATCAACTTTCCATAAGGTGATTGCCAGTCATGAGCCCTTGTTTTTTAAATAATAAATTAAGAATGTTGAACAGGATAGTCTGAAAGTTCTTATAGCTTTGAGATTCTACCTTAGTTTTTTTACTGCTAAAGTAGAAATGATGATATCTGCTTTTTCTCAAAACTGGGTATAACAGTTTTGAAATTTTTAAAAAAGAATAAGTAAATGTAAAAGTCATTTAAAATATTCAGAATTTTTTCAAAATTCCAAAACAACTTTTAAATTGATATATCTTAATGGTTCAATTCTTAAATTTCTATTTTTGATAAAAACTGTCAAGAAATGACATCTCATAGGCCTGGCATGGTGGCTCAAGCCTGTAATCCTAGCACTCTGGGAGGCCAGGGTGGGAGGCTCTGGAATTGAGATCAGCCTGAGCAAGAGCAAGACCCTGCCTCTACTAAAAATAGGAAAAATTAGCTGGGCATGTTGGTGCGCACCTATAGCCCCAGCTACTGGGCAGGCTGAGGCAAGAGGATTCTTGAGCCAGGGAATTTGAGGTTGCTGTGATCTAGGCTGACACTATTGAAAAAGAGTGAGACTCCGTCTCAAATAAAAAAAAAAAAGATATCTCAGATAAATCATATAGATAATAACCTGATTGCTTTACCTATAAAAATCTCTTAAGAACAAGGACTGATTTACTACATGGAAGGGATCACATGTCAATTGAGCACCCATTATGTACCAAGCACTATGGCTGGCACTTTACGTACTTCCATCCCTTTTTTTTTTTTTTAATTTTTTAATTTTTTTTTTTTTTGAGACAGAGTCTCACTTTGTTGCCCAGGCTAGAGTGAGTGCCATGGCGTCAGCCTAGCTCACAGCAACCTCAAACTCCTGGGCTCAAGCGATCCTGCTGCCTCAGCCTCCCCAAGTAGCTGGGACTACAGGCATGCACCACCATGCCCGGCCAATTTTTTCTATATATATTAGTTGGCCAATTAATTTATTTGTATTTATAGTAGAGACGGGGTCTCGCTCTTGCTCAGGCTGGTTTCGAACTCCTGACCTCGAGCAATCCGCCCGCCTCAGCCTCCCAGAGAGCTAGGATTACAGGCGTGAGCCACCGCGCTGGCTACTTCCATCCCATTTAATTCACCAAAATGCAAGGTTTATCATTTCAATTTTTGAGACAGGGAAAAATAAAGATCCAACTGGTAAAATAAACCTATCAACGTGGTAGAACCAGGCTTTAAATTCAAGCCTGCCTATAGACCACCTTTTCTATAAGATGAATTCCATGCTTTATTTCTATATAAACCAACACTTACTTTTCAGGCAGCACAACAGAAACATCATAATCTGTTGGAGTAAGACATCGAACTTCTGAATAAACTCGATCCCTAAATCCTGGGAAAAGGGAATTTCCTCCTGTCAAAACAATGTTCTTAAAAAAATGTGGCTGCATTTCTGTAAAAGAAAAAAACAAAAGAGAAAGGGAAGAAACAAGGTGTTAGAAAATCTTTTTACTTATGTTCTGGAATGACATGGAAGAAGTAAGAAGCAGTTAGGCCAACCTGGGTAACATAGGAGACCCTGTTTCTCTCTCCAAAAAAAATTTAAAAATTAGCCAGAAATGGTGGCACATGCCTGTAGTCCCAGCTACTTAGGAGGCTGAGGCGGAAGGATCCCTTTAGCCCAGGAGCTAGAGGTTACAGTGAGCTATGATCATGCCACTGCTCTCTAGCCTGGGTGACAAAGTAAGACCCTGTCTCTTAAAAAATAATTTAAAAAAAAATTAGGAAAAAAAAAGCAATTCAAGATTACAGTTACTGGTTGAAGAACCATATAATATTTAAGATCCAGATTTATAAGATTTGTAATGAGATTAGAGTTTACACAGAGACACTAAACAGAATGAAATATGACCTTACGGACCTTTAAAAGAAAAAGCTAAGGTGAGGGGAGTGAAATACTGGCTACTTATTACATACTCATGAAAGATATTTAAGTGAGTGATATTCTCATCACAGACATTTGATAATTATAATCATTCTTCCCTAAAATGGAAGGGGTCTTGCTGTAGGCTAAGATTGCAAGCAAGGGTAAGGATGTAAAGGAGGTCTTTCATGACATTTTAACTTGTGATCCTAAATTTCCATGTTATCTCACTGAGACAGACATAATTATTGTGCAATACTTACCTTTGATAGTGAAAAACACTCATAATCTATAACAGTATTTAAAGAAGGGATCTAGGCTAGGCACCATAGCTCATGCCTGTAATCCTAGTACTCTGGGAGGCTGAAGCAGGAGGACTGCTTGAGCTCAGGAGTTCAAGACCAACCTGAGCAAGAGTGAGACCTCATCTCTACTAAAAAAAATTTAAAAATTAGCCGGGCATCGTGGTGTGCACCTGTAGTCCCAGCTACTCAGGAGGCTGAGGCAGGAGGATTGTTTGAGCTCAGGAGTTTGAGGTTATAGTGAGCTATGATGATGCCACTGCACTCTATCCAGGGCGACAGAGTAAGACTGTCTCAAAAAATAAAAAAATAGAAAGGGATCTAAGTATGAACACTCATTAAAGTTATGTTATGATAAACATTAAATGCCATAAGGTTAGCCAGTATTAAAAGCCTATAATCCCAGCAACTTGGGAGGCTGGGATGGTAAAATTATTTGAACCCAGAAGTTCAGTCCAGCCTGGGCAACACAGCAAGACTCCAGCTCTTAATGAAGAAACAAACAAAAAAAGCCTACAAAGCACAACCAGGAAATCCATCAGGAACTAACAGGTACTTGCCATCCCACCTACTGGTTCTATTCACCAAAACAATGACAGAGTTCCCTTATACTGACATTGAGTCTCATGACATTAAAGCAGTGTTGTATAGAATACTGTATATATCACAACTACAACTTTATATAAAATGTGAAATTAATATGAAAATACTTGTGAAATAATCATGTTAAGGGGATGGCATTATATGACTTTTAAAATATATTTTTTGGCCGGGCACGGTGGCTCACGCCTATAATCCTAGCTCTCTGGGAGGCCGAGGGGTGGATTGCTCGAGGTTAGGAGTTCGAACCAGCCTGAGCAAGAGCGAGACCTCATCTCCTACTATACAATGAAAGAATTAATTGGCCAGCTAATATATATAGAAAAAATTAGGGCCGGCACGGTGGCTCACCCCTGTAATCCTAGCACTCTGGAGCCGAAAGCGGCAGATTGCTCAAGGTCAGGAGTTCGAAACAGCCTGACCAAGGCAAGACCCCATCCTCTATTATAATAGAAAGAATTAATTGGCCAATTATTATATAGAAAAAATAGCCGGGCATGGTGGCACATGCTGTAGTCCCAGCTACTTGGGAGGCTGAGGCAGTAGGATTGCTTGAGCCCAGGAGTTTGAGGTTGCTGTGAGCTAGGCTGATGCCATGGCACTCACTCTAGCTTGGGAAACAAACTGAGACTCTGTCTCGAAAAAAAAAGTACTCTTTAATGACTTTTCCTATGACAAATTTATAATTCAGAATGAATAAAGTAGATTTTTTTTTTTTTTTTGAGACAGGGCAGGGTCTCACTATGTTCCCAGGCCAGTATCAAACTCCTAGACTCAACTGATCCTCCCGCCTCAGCCTCCCGAGTAGCTGGGAGTACAAGCACACATCATCATGCCCAGCATCAAGTAGGAATTATTTAAGTATATCATGGGATCTGAAAAGTCTCTTTTACTTAAAAGAGACTTGCTATTTGCCTGAAATTAATTAGAAGAAAAAGGTTCACAGAGCATATGATTTTTTAAAAAATATCATTATTCTTTAATATTTTATTGTAATTATTTACATACCTTCAGGTAAGTTCTGAATTGAATAGACAATGGCTTCCGGAATTCCCATTTCTTGAATGCCTATATCTGAAGGATTAAAGAGTATTTCTGGAACAGCAAATCTCTCATTGGCCAGACGAAGAATTTGTTCCCCAGATTTATATTTTCCACTCAACACCATCTCTTCCCTTGGCTTAAAGAAAAATAAGATTAAAAGTTTAAGTTACATTATCTGCTCACATGACTAATAATAATTAGTAATGGTCAGGCACGGTAGCTCATGATATAATCCTAGCACTCTGGCAGGCCAAGGCAGGAGGATCACTTGAGGTCAGAAGTTCGAGACCAGCCTGAATAAGAGTAAGACCCTGTCTCTACTAAAAAAAAAAAATTAGCTGAGCAAGTTGGCTCATGTCTGTAGTCCTAGCTACTCAGGAGGTTGAGACAAGAGGCTTGAGCCCAGGAGTTTGAGGTTGTAGTGAGCTATGATAACATCACTGCACTCTAGCCAGGGGCAACAGAGTAAGACTCTGTCTGGAAAAAAAAAAAAAGAATTAGTAATATGTAACACTAATATGTTAACCATGTATTTACAAGTGTCACTGTTTCTAAAAGTTAGAAAAATGTGGCCTTCTCTACTGTTGTTAAAACCACACAAATAAGTATTGCCTCTAATATGGCTAGTCCCCCAAAGATAATCTGGCAGCTTTATTCCACACATTTTATTTATTTATTTATTTATTTATTTACTTTTTTTTGAGACAGAGTCTCACTCTGTTACCCGGGCTAGAGTGCTGCGGCGTCAGCCTGGCTCACAGCAACCTCAAACTCCTGGGCTCAAGCAATCCTTCTGCCTCAGCCTTCCAAGTAGCTGGGACTACAGGCATGTGCCACCATGCCCGGCGAATTTTTTCTATATATTTTTAGTCGGCCAGTTAGTTTCTTTCTATTTTTTTAGTAGAAATGGGGTCTTGCTCTTGCTCAGGCTGTTTTCGAACTCCTGACCTTGAGTGATCCTCCCACCTCAGCCTCCCAGAGTGCTAGGATTACAGGCATGAGCCACCACACCTGGCCATATTCCACACATTTTAAAATAAAGAAAAGGAGAACAGTAAAGAGAGAACTTCGTAATCTCCCTATAATGGTACTGAATGCACTTTCTAGAGAACAAACAATATAAATAATTGTAAATAAAAAACATTTTCTATGTCCTGTGTTCCTACCACTATCTGTTTTCACTCCCCCATTTCAGGTGTTTGGCTCTTCCCTATTCCAGGTGTTTACTAGACATGTGGTTCTATTCTATTAGGATTTCCCCTTTCCCTTGTGCAAAAAGCCTACATCTTTAAATTTCTTTACTATTCATTCAAACTCTATTCAAAATTAGTTTCCAAATGCTTTGAGCAAATACACAGTCTTTATCCTTGAATTTACTTTATTTTATTTTTTTTTTTGAGAGAGAGTCTTGCTCTGTTGCCTGGGCTACAGTGCTGTGGCATCAGCCTGGCTCACAGCAACCTCAAACTCCTGGGCTCAAGCAATCCTTCTGCCTCAGCCTCCCAAGTAGCTGGGATTACAGGCATGTGCCACCATGCCCAGCTAATTTTTTCTATATATTTTTAGTTGACCAATTAATTTCTTTCTATTTTTAGTAGAGACGGGGTCCTGATCTTGCTCAGACTGGTCTCGAACTCCTGACCTTGAGTGATCCTCCCACCTCGGCCTCCCAGAGTGCTAGGATTATAGGCATGAACCACCTCGCCAGGCCTGAATTTACTTTATAATGTCAACTTTGTATGAGGCCTATGTATAACAAACACAAACTTTGAACAACCATAACTTATATTCTCTTGTTGTTTATTTTCTGCTAACCGACTAATTCTGTGAGCTGTGTTGCTGAGGGAGCCAGAAATAATAATCTCCTTCCACAATATTCCACATCATTAAAATAACTGTCCCTCTCAATATGGTAAAGAATCAGCCGGGCTCGGTGGCTCATGCCTGTAATCCTAGCTCTCTGGGAGGCCGAGGCGGGCGGATTGCTCGAGGTCAAGAGTTCAAAACCAGCCTGAGCAAGAGCGAGACCCCATCTCTACTATAAATAGAAAGAAATTAATTGGCCAACTAATATATATAGAAAAAAGTAGCCGGGCATGGTGGTGCATGCCTGTAGTCCCAGCTACTTGGGAGGCTGAGGCAGAAAGGATTGCTTGAGCCCAGGAGTTGGAGGTTGCTGTGAGCTAGGCTAACGCCATGGCACTCACTCTAGCCTAGGCAACAAAGGGAGACTCTGTCTCAAAAAAAAAAAAAAAAAAAAAGAATCATCATCTCGTCTAGATTCAGTTACAGACATTCATTTATTCATTTCATTTGACTTATACCTAGAGTTTCCTTAATATAAGCAGCTATCTTCTTCTGACTTCCAAATAGTCTTCTGACTTCTCTACTATCACCCTATAGTATCCTTCTTAGCCTATAGTGTTCACCATCACATACCCACTACCTAATATAACATAGTACCTGGTACATAGTAGGTATTCAATAAATTCTTGAATAATGACATGTGAGCCAACAACATGGCATTCACTGTATTAGGCATATTATATATGGTACCTCAGTGAACTCCTCACATAACTCTATAAGATATTCATATTTTCCTTTTATTAAGTGTGTAAGTGGGCTCTTCAAGGTTACAACTTATTCAGGATCATTCATATAAAAACCCAAAGCACGGCCGGGCGCTGTGGCTCACGCCTGTAATCCTAGCTCTTGGGAGGCCGAGGCGGGGATTGCTCAGGTCAGAAGTTCAAAACCAGCCTGAGCAAGGCGAGACCCGTCTCTACTATAAATAAAAGAAATTAATTGGCCAACTGATATATATATAAAAAAAAAAATTAGCCGGGCATGGTGGCGCATGCCTGTAGTCCCAGCTACTCGGGAGGCTGAGGCAGAAGGATCCTGCAAGCCCAGGAGTTTGAGGTTGCTGTGAGCTAGCTGACGCCACGGCACTCACTCTAGCCTGGACAACAAAGTGAGACTCTGTCTCAAAAAAAAAAAAAAAAAAAAACCCAAAGCACATACAAAATATTCCTTCCACTATGTTGCCACTCTTAACCTGGATACAAATGATTAGATTTCTGTCATTTGGGAATTCCATGCTCAAAACATTATTTGTAAATAAAAACTATCCTGAAAATTACACAATATTCATAATACTCTAGTGGGAACAGAAAACTATATATCACTTTTAACCCAATTAAACTATTGCTATAGTAACAAAGAGATTATTTCTCACAGAGATATTCTTCCTTTTCAGGCAGAATGGAAAATTTTTCCTTTAAATTTATATATTCATGTAAATTCAAGCCATTCTGAGTATTGACAAAATAAAAAGGAGATTCGTTTGAGGCCTGGAATTTGAGACCTATCTAGGAAACACAGTGAGACCCCTATCTCTACAAAAAAAGATTGTTTTAAAAATTAGCTGGGCATGGTAGTATGTGCCTATAGTCCTAACTACTAGGGAGGCTGAGGTGGGAGATCACTGGAGCCCAGGAGTTCGAGGCTGCAGTGAGCTATGATTGTGCCACTGCACTCCAGCCTAGGCTACAGGCCAAGACCCTCTCTCTTAAAAAAATAATAACAATAACCTAAGACAGATGCAGACATGGAGAAATTCAGTTGACAAAACACCAGAAGTTATTTAATAGCCCTGATTGACAAAAGAGGATCATGTGACTTATCTGGATCATACATCTAGCTAGGGGAAAGAGCCATAACTAGATATCCTTGCTGAATGTTAGCACTAAAGCCATTAATCGTTAATATGTAACCTAGTACAACAAGTAGTTTCTGTTTTTAAGAGTATAATTCCAAAAAGAGGTTTGTTTTCGACATAGATAGATGAAGCAATTTATAAGGGTTGCTGGGAGTTGGTATTTTAGTCAATGTAGGCCATGATTACTGCATGGCCCTCATACAATTAGTTCAAGAACCATTAAAGAGAGGATCTGTTTATATAATAACGGCCCTGCAGAAAGTGGTAATCATTAACGATGAGGGCAATTTTCTCAATTTAGGTCAGCCAAATGCATTACAGTTTAGTGGGTTTCCTCTTTCTGATAAGAGATAAACTGGAATTTCTATCAGTTGTAATCACTAATGATATTGTAGACCTTATTTTTATTATTATCATTACTATCATTAGCACTAGAAAAGCAAGGTTGCAACTTTTTTGCAAGCATTTAAAAATAATCTTGAATAAACTATCAAAGTCCACCTCCCTACACCTTTTTATTCTTCTTTTTTCTTGCTCTGTTGCCCAGCCTGGTGTACCGTGTCACAATCATAGCTCACTGCCACCTCAAACTCTTGGGCTCAAGGGATCCTCCTGAGTAGCTGGGACTACAGACAAACACCACCTCACCTGGTTAATATTAAAAACAACTTTTTTTGTGGAAACAGGGTCTCACTATGTTGCCCAGCCTGATCTTGAACTCCCTGGGCTCAAGCAATCCTCCCACCTCAGCTTCCCAAAGTGCAGGGATTACAGGCAGTGAGCCACCTCTCCCAGCCTTAATGCAACATTACAGATAAATTGGCATTCCCCTTTTTAACTTGGTGTTTCATCATTCACACACATAGTTTATACTTTTACTTCACATTTATGTATACCTAAATAACAAATATTATTCTGCATAGACTGAAATATACATAGCTTCCTAAAACTTGCTTTTCTATTAAACATCAGATTTCTGAGATTTATCCATGTTCATCATGTAGCTCTACTTCATTTTCACTACTGATCATTTTATAATATGAATGTACCAAAAATTATTTATTCTACTTTCACTAGTGGATATTTAGGTTGTTCCCAATTTTTTATTTTTTAAAAGTATACTGCAATGAATATTAGCACAGATGTCTCCTTGTGCAAATGTGCTTATGTTTCTGTCCAAAGATTTTTTACTTCCCAACATTCCTCATCAAGCTGGTAAGTAGAAGGGCAAACTTCACATTTACCCAAACACAGAACTGATCTTATCTGAGTCAATCAAAGATAAGGACAAATTATTTTGACATCCAAGACAAAGTATTTCTCAACACTTTGAAAGTGCACTAGAATTTGTCCTTTTCAACCACAATCCTATCAGACCAAACAGAAGTAAAGTTCAGCCCTGGGTCAACTATGTTGGTAATTTTCACAATAGGAAAATAACCAATTTCTAACTGGATTTAAACTAATTCTTCAATAAACAGAAATGGATTAACCAAAATATAGATAATGACACTGTTTATCTTCAGATTTGTTCCATGTCCTCTCAATTGGCTGATAGTTCTTTTTCTAAATAAGTTTAGTGAGAAATTTATTAATCAAATATCACTTGTCCCTGGTGAAATGGCTACCAGGAAGGAAGTCATCAGCTCTTGAAGGCCCTGCAATCCCAGCTGGACCTGAAAAAATGTTTTTCAAATTTGACTGAGGTGGTCATTTAAACAAATATCCTTAATGATTTTTAAAATTACCTTACAAAAGCCCTTCTTAATGGTACTGAAGTCAGGCAGAACATAATCTATCATTACTGTATTTTCTTCTCCTTTCAATCTGAAAAACAAAAGAGACTTATGAAATATTTTAATTATGTGTTAATATCCCCCAAAAATCAACTTTCCTATTCTTAGATTACAATTATACTTACTTTGCAATATCCATATCTTTATAAAAATCCTGAGACACATAGCATACATCTTCTTTCACTTGATTAATCACATGTGTTTCATCCATAACGTGTAGCTGCCTAACAGAAAAAAGTTGTAAAATTTGAAATGGAAAAAATTTAAATATAACTTATAATTCTCATTTCAAATATTTTTTCTGGAATCAAATTTTCTGGTAGCTGATTTTTTTGAAATCTTAAATTCTTGAATGTGTAAAACAATTTTAATTTTATGGAATACTCTCATTTCTATTATCTTATTTAATTTCCACATTATTCCTCTGCGGGTAGACATTAGTCCAGTTTATAGGTAAGGAAATTGACAACAGAGGTGTCTGTTAAGTGGTGATGTTTATCAACTAAAAAGGAAATTACCTCACCCAACCATTCTTAATAGAATCTTGTTAAAATGCCTCAACTGTTTGCACTTTCTTTTCTGATTACAGAAGTATTGTTAAGTCAGTACACAGTACCTAGCACACAAAAGATGTTTAATAAATATTTGATATGAATGAATCAAAGAAAATACAGGCTTAATATAGAAATAAAGATGTTTAAAAAACAAAAATGCAAGGCTTTTTCCCTTGAATATTTTTCTGTACACACAGATTTTATTATATACTACATGTTTACTTTTTATGTTTTCAACCAGACATTATCTAGTGCCACTTTCTTAAGCTCGCATTCTTTTTATTTTATTTTATTTTTTTTGAATCCTACTGTTTTTTAAAAATTTTTTTTTCTTTTCATCTTTTTTTTTTTTTTTGAGACAGAGTCTCGCTTGTTGACCAGGCTAGAGTGAGTGCCTTGGCGTCAGCCTAGCTCACAGCAACCTCAAACTCCTGGGCTCAAGCAATCCTTCTGCCTCAGCCTCCCGAGTAGCTGGGACTACAGGCATGCGCCACCATGCTCGGCTAATTTTCTATATATATTAGTTGGCCAATTAATTTCTTTCTATTTATAGTAGAGACAGGGTCTTGCTCTTGCTCAGGCTGGTTTTGAACTCCTGACCTTGAGCAATCCGCCCACCTCAGCCTCCCAGAGTGCTAGGATTACAGGTGTGCCCGGCTTCATCTTTTTTTTTTTTTTTTTTGCCCCCAACACAGAAGTCAAAAGAATCCTATTGTTAATGAAGGTTGAAGTCTTGATTGACATAATGGCCTGGGAATTGGAATTTTGCCCCCTAGACTGTGAATATGCTGAAAACCATTTAAAGTGGCAATTCAGCTTTTTTTGTTTTTGTTGTTTTTTTTTGTTTTTCTTTTAGAATCAGGAAAATTAAGCTCAATAGATTTTATTTTCTCAGAGCTGTTTTAGGTTCACAACAAAATTGGAAAATAGAGATACCCTCCTCTTTTTACATAGCATTGGGGTATACACATGCTTTTATTTCATCAAAAGCCTCTCACAATTTTTTACTGTCAGCATAATGTTTTCTTCATGGATCATTCTATCTCCCCTGCCAGGTAAGGATATAATGTTTTCTTATATGGATATAATATGGCTCACTTAGCCTTGCTGTCACTGGACATTAAGGTTGTTTACAACTTTTTGGTGCTGTAAGTGGTGATTAACGTTTTAGTGCATGACTCACCACTATCCCATTCCCACACACACATTCAGAATTATTTTTTTTTAGGACAGATTATTAGAATTTTTTTCCTTTTTTTTTTCCCTATATGTCCACTTAGGTATTGATCCATTAATACCAATTTGATGGTGAGTACATGTGGTGCTGGTTTTTCCATTCTTTAGATACTTCACTTAGTAGAATGGGTTGTTCCAGCTGTATCCAGGAATATACAACAGGTGTTATATCACCATTGTCTCTCAAAGCTGAGTAGTATTCCATGGTATACATATACCACATTTTATTAATCCACTCATGAATGGATGGGCACTTGGGTTGTTTCCACAGCTTTGCAATTGTGAATTGTGCTGCCATAAACATTCTTGTGCAGGTGTCTTTTTCATAAAGGGACTTTTGATCTTTTGGGTAGAAAGCTTTTATTCTTTAAAAATGATTTTAACTACCTTATAATAGTTAATCAGATGGCTCTATTAAAATATACTTATCAAAGTTCCTTATGTTGGACGTTTAGATCAGGGAGGAAAGATACCTGTGTGTTTACTAAATGGATTTTGGAAAAAGAGACCTAGGTTTGAAACATAACTTAGTAGCCAAGTTATTTTACCCAATTGGGACTTAGTCTCTTCCATTTTAAGAAGTTAGTAACACCAATGACTTAGCAGAGCTATAAGAAGTAAATGATTCTAATAATACACATAAAGTGTTTAGCATTGTCCCTGTACTCAATAAATGAAAAACATTATTGCTTCCATCTTTTTGCTTTTGTAAAACAAGTATCACTACATTTAATCTCTCTTACATGCACCTCTGTACAAATGAGAAGAAAATGTACTAATTATGACAATTCAAAAGTATCAAGGATTGGAAGAGCCATGCCAAATTCAGAGATTAAAATATGAAAATATAACTCAGAACTGATAAAATATAGGTATTTTTACCTCTGTCTCTAATTACCTCATTACTTATTCATATTCTGAAACACAGAATATCTAATAACTTTAGTCTTTTCACATATTGTCAAATATTTACTAGAAAAGTTATGTTTTTTTGGTTTTTTTTGTTTTTTTTTTGAGACAGAGTCTCACTTTGTTGCCCAGGCTAGAGTGAGTGCCGTGGCATCAGCCTAGCTCACAGCAACCTCAAACTCCTGGGCTCAAGCAATCCTGCTGCCTCAGCCTCCCGAGTAGCTGGGATTATAGGCACGCGCCACCATGCTCGGCTAATTTTTTGTATATATATTTTTAGTTGGTCAATTAATTTCTTTCTATTTTTAGTAGAGACGGGGTCTCACTCAGGCTGGTTTTGAACTCCTGACCTCGAGCAATCTGCCCGCCTCGGCCTCGCAGAGTGCTAGGATTACAGGCGTGAGCCACCACGCCTGGCCCTAGAAAAGTTATTTTAAGGTATGCTGTGATCAGCAGTCAATAAGAGTGGCCATATAACAAATCTACAACATCATCTTTTGAAAAAACTTCTATTAATTTAGATTGTAAAAATGGTACTTTAATTGGTATTTTCTCTTTTGGGAAGTAAGTGCCATGAGAAAGAAGAATCCTGTCTGCTTTGCTCACTCATGTATCCCAAGATCCTAAATAAATGCTCAGTATTTGCTGAATTGAATCTGTAATTACTACACAAGTTAGTATTTTTTACTCAAGAATTGCCCATCTGTATCCTTTGACTGTATATAACTCCCTAAGAATTTCTATTTGTGACAAGTGACCATTTGTTTTTTTCTGAGAATCATTTAAACATTTTATACTAAGGTAGTGGTTTTTTAATGGATTAATAAACACTTTTAATATATTAAATATATTAAAGATAACAATTGCATAGCATATATATTTCAATTTATTTCTCAGGTTTATGTTTACCTTAGTTTGTTTACAGAGGCTTTTGATATCAATAAAGTTAAAAATTTTATGTAGCTAAAACATAAAAGCTTTGACAGCGAAACAAAGTGACTATAATCATAAAATTTAAGTGAAGGTATACTTTAAAAAAACTACAAGAGTGGAACTGTAATGTTCCTAACACAAAGAAATGTTAAATGCCTGAAGTGATGGATACCTCAATTACCCTGGTTTGATTAATTTACATTGTATGCCTATATCAAAACATCACATATAGCCTATGAAGATCTATAACTACTATGTACCCATAATAACTTAAAAATTTTTTTTTTAATTAAAGCTTCCAAAATCTGTCAAACTACTGTAAAACCTATAAAACTACTATTGGGAGTCAGTAGTTTCCAATTTAGAAGAGGACACAATCAGGATTAGGGTGCTGGTAATACTCTGCTTCAATTGTGTTCTCATCAGGTAAGTGAGTTTACTTTTTGAAAATTCATTGAGTTGTATGCTCATGATTTGTGTATCTTTCTGTATATTTTACTTAAATAAAAACAAATTTTTTGGTCGGGCGAGGTGGCTCAAGCCTGTAATCCTAGCACTCTGGGAGGCCGAGGTGGGCAGATCGCTCGAGGTCAGGAGTTCAAAACCAGCCTGAGCAAGAGCAAGACCCCGTCTGTACTCTAAATAGCAAGAAATTAATTGGCCAACTAATATATATAGAAAAAAAAAATTAGCTAGGCATGGTGGCACATGCCTGTAGTCCCAGCTACTCAGGAGGCTGAGGCAGTAGGATTGCTTGAGCCCAGGAGTTTGAGGTTGCTGTGAGCTAGGCTGATGCCACGGCACTCTAGCCTGGGCAACAAAGAGAGACTCTGTCTCAAAAAAAAAAAAAAAAAAACCAAATTTTTTAAGAAGTTCTATGTAGGAAAATATATCCTTTACTATTTCTTCCATTATTTTTATGCTTAGCAACTCAGTTACATATTTTTTATTATGGTTTCATTTTTATATTTGTCTTAAATACTTTTCAACTTTAATATATAAGGCAAAATAAAATTTTAACTTTTCTCCAGTCAACTTTCCCTGTATTCTTTCCTGAATAATTAATCCCCTAATTGGTTTTCCATGCTTTCTTTAGCAAAGAATACTTTTTGTTCTTCACATATTTGATTCAAGATTATTCAGTCTCACTGAATAATTGACACATAATAATTGTACATATTTATGAGGTACACAGTGATATTTTGATACAGATAATTTATAGTGATCAGATCAGGGTAATTAGAATATCCATCATCTCAAACATTTATCATTTCTTTGTGTTAAAGAGTATTCAGTCTCTTCATTCTAGCTATTAGAAACTGTAAGATTCTTGCAGTAACAAAAATATGGAGATGGAAAGCAGATTAGTGGTTGTGGTGGGAAAAGGAAAGGGTGCGGAAGCAAATATAAAGGGGTAGTACAAAGGAGTTCCTTTGTGGTGACGGAATAATTTTGTATCTTTATTGTGGTGGTGATTACACAAATCTAGACATGGGATAAAAGTACACAGAACTGTGCATACACCCACACAAATGAATACATGTAAAATATGGTAAAAATTGTAGTCTACTTAACAGTATTGTATCAATGTCAATTTCATGGTTTTGATGATGTACTACAGTTATATAAGATGTCATTAAGGGTACACAGGACTGTATGTACTAGTCCTGCAATTTCCCAAGTCTATAATTATTTATATATTTATAAAGAAAACCTTTTTTAAGTAGTAAAGCTAGAGAGGATGGAGACTCTCGGATGATGGCTAAGGTAGTAGGTTTCCTTTTTTAATGAAATGTTCTAAAATTAATTGTAGTCATACAGGATAAAGGAGAGAAAAAAAGTAGAAGGAAATATAGATCTACTTATTTTCTCATATAACATATAGGTATGGGAGCAGAGAGATACTGACAGTATCATACCATCCAAAGTTAAAGTAGCAAGAAATTAAGATTTAAGAATTCTACTTAGGTTCTTAAACACAATAAAACTAAAAACAGTAGCACATACTATCATGCTCATGCACAACATTTATAATTTTAAAGTATTATTTGTAATATATTAAACTCCCTAGAATTTAGAAATATCTTTTTGGTGGACACTACCATTTTATATGCTAGAAAGCTTTCCAGTTTGAACATTATTAGTGTTTATCTATGTGATATAGCTTTTTAAGCAATGATATAGAAATGACACCTATGATGATTACAACTAAAGTTAAGAAATAAATTTAAATTACTTTAAAAAGTTCATCCCCAGAGTTCCATCCTCCAAAAGATTCAAACCTAAATATTACCTGTAAGATATGATCTCCTTTAGATGATTGGTTAAGAGTTTTCCTCCAACATTTATCCTAAAAAGGGGAGAATTCAAATTTGGTTCAGTTATCACATATTTCATTGTTTCATCCTAGAAATAACATAAAAATTAAATACAACTTACCTAATAATTGCCTCTTTTTTCTTTTTACTTCTGCAATAAGGAACTATATGTGTAAAGGAATATCCACTATCTACAATGATACAGCATAATTCGGAAGGATTATCTCGGAAATACCTATGTGCACTGAGAGCCCCAGCTATTAAAAAAGATAAAGAAAAAAATGAACACATTATAAAAATATAACATTAATTTAAAGCAATAACAAAAAGAAAACGAAGGCAAGCACAAAGACAAAAGTTTTCCTTTAATTATTAAAAAAGTGTTGGCTGGTCCAAAAGTAGTGAGTTATCTCACTTGATTGTTCACAGTCAGTTACAGATTGAACTCCTTGTTCTACTCTTTCCCCACTTCTCACTACTGCACTTGACTAGTCTTAAAAAAATTTTTTTTAAAGTTAAGCTGTAATAATATTCATAACTGTCAAAAGATCTTTTTAGACTAGACATGGTGGCTCATGCCTGTAATCCTAACACTTTAGGAGGCTGATGAGGAAGGATTGATTGCTTGAGGACAGGAGTTTCAGACCAGCCTGAGCAAGTGCGAAATCCCCCATTTCTACAAACAATAGAAAAATTAGGGGTGATGGCATGCATCTATAGTCTCAGATACTCAGGAGGCTGAGGCAGGAGTATCATTTGAGTCCAGGAGTTTGAGGTTGCAGTAAGCTATGATGATGCCACTGCACTCTAGCCCCAGTGACAGAGTGAGACCCTATCTCAAAAAAAAATAAATAAAAAACCTTAATAGCATTTGTAATGTTTAAACTTTAAAAGATCACACTCATGTGGTAAATATAATAAAAAGAAAAATTTGTGATCAGTTTTTAAAGGTAAATATTCATACCTTATAATAATTATTACAAGAGTAGCTATTTTTTACTGAGCTTTTATTATTACATGCTGGGCTCTATTCTAAACTCTGTTTAATTAGTGTGTTAATACAACAATCCTATTTTACAGCTGAGAAACCTGAAGCATAGAGAAGTTAAGCAATCCATCCAAAGTCACACAATTAGGAAGTAGCAGAGCCAGGATTCAAACCTAGGCAGTATGGCTTTAGAGCAGGATTTCTCAGTTCTGGAACTATTGACATTGTGGGTTAGATAACTCCCTGTTGTTGGGGGCCTTCCTGTGCATTGCAGGATATTTAGCAACATCTTGGCCTCTACACACTAGCTGCCAGTTGCACCCTCCCAGTTATGACAACCAAAAATGTCTCCAGATATTGCCAGATGTCCGATGGGGAGCAAAAACACCCTTGGTTGAAAACACTTCTAGACATTGTGTTCTTGATCATTCCAGTACACTGCTGCTTATAGAGACTTCAATTCTGCAAGCTAAATATTTAAATTGTACACAACCATGTAATGTAATCCTAACCTGTAATAAACTTGTTTCTATATGGTATTTACAGATTGTTTCCTCTCACACTGGCGGCCTGAGCTATTAACATTATTTCAAACAATAATAATAATACCAAACATATCAATGAAAAGATAACTAGCTTCACTAGGGAGAAACATCATATTAGTAAAAAGCTGAACTGAGAGGTCTGACTGTATAATCTCTAAGGGGTCCATTTAGTTTTAAAATTCCAAGTTTTTCCCTTCATTAAGGATGACTCGCAAAGAAAAAAAAAATTCCAACTTTTATTTCCTTCAGACCTAAAGAATGCCACCTAGTCTTCTGAGATGTTAAGAGTTCCTTTACCCTATTCCCTATTCATATCTATGTTCATATAACTCAATTTTAAGGAAAACTTTAACTCACCATTTACTCTTAATACTGCTTGGAACTGGTATTCTTCAAATAGAATTTCATTCATTGATTCTTGAATTGAAGTGAAGTTAAAATATGGTTCTGTGATAATAATATTAGTATCCAAAAAATCAACCTATGGGGGAAAAAAATCCTAAAAAGTTTTGTAATTTGTAGTGATAATTATCAATGCTTATATTATATATGTAAATAAGACTAATCTTCACAGTAATTCTAAGGAGATAAGTCTTAATATTATCCTCACTTCATAGACAAGCAAACTGAGGTATAGAAAAGCTGAATAAGTTACCAAGGTTCACATACCTACTTAATAACATAGCTAGGATTTGAACCCAGGAAGATTGGTTACAGAATCCACTCATTTGACCACTATACAATTTTACCTCTCTTAAGGTAACATTAATGAAATGTTACTGTCTAGTTGCTTAAAGACAACTATGCAAAAGTAATGAATGATTTAACTACAAGTATTAGGGCTGTTATTAAGTTTTTAGTAAGAAAAGGGCAAAAGCTTCAAGATAACTCAAGTTTACATAATTCTCTCCCACACATTCTTGAGAAGTATTAAAAACTTGAATATTGTCTCAGTATACCTATGGTCACATTATAGACATTAAAAGCACAAATTTTTTTTTGTGGTATTCACACATTCAGATGTGTAGGCAAAAATATTTTATTGTGAAAATTAAAATGATACAGTCATTTTTTTTTTTTTAAAGTAAATGTTTTATTCTTCCAACTAAATTCCAGTACTACAAGGGTGGTAAAACAATGATACACTGGAAAAAATGCGGCAATAAACATATGTTAAAAAGACTGATAGAATAAATAAAACTACAAAAAAAAAAAAAGAAAATCATATATCAATTGGTCTAATAATAGTAGAAATCTGAAGTAAAATTTTAATCTTGAGTTTCATATAGACTATCTTTACTCAGCTTCCACTTCACAAAAATTCTATTCAATTGCATTTTTTAAGTATTTAAAAAATCAAAGCTAAGGAAAGCTATATTTAAAAGGTGACTGAAATATATACTGAAAACATGATCATAGTTTATAAATCTTAAAATATAAGTTCTAATTTTTCATTCAAATAAGACAGGGATATACAATTTTAATACATACTCTAATTTGTTACCTGATACATTTCTTTTCCAAAAAGGTAATCCCAAACTTGTCTTTGAACATCCCAATTCACCAAGTAGCCCTAAAAAATATTTTTATAAATTTAATTATCAAGAATATTTGAAAATTAAAAGAAATCAGAATAATATATTCTAAATCACTGGTTTCTATCTCTTTATGGTTACCGTCTCCATTCTAATGATGCATGAATTTCAAACCAATTATACTGGTATGTTTTTCTCTTTTTAAAAGTTCAAAAAATTACAATAACTAAAATGTCAAGGGTTCAAAAGACACATCAATATATAGAGATGCCTCTCTGAACTTATTTTCTTAAATTACTGTGTATACACCACTTAGATTTAACATAAGTAAAATTCAGTACTCACAATCTGTAACTAAATCATGGTCATTTGTTTTTATCAAAACAATTTAATTTCAATTTTTGGTTTTAATTAGATCTTAGTTAAAATTTTTTAAGTCACCTTTTCTTAGAGATCTAAAAATATTTCATACTTACACACACAGCCTTATACATACAATAAAAGACTACCTTTAAATTTGGGTCTACAATGCTAGAAATGATACATAATTGGATTACCTTTTGAAAAGGAAGGATGTAAAAGAGTCCAGAAGGGTCTTTTATTTCATCTATCTGGTTAGCCGTAAAAGTTTTAAGACGTGCTGTTTTTGACCTGAACTGACAGTTAGGAATGACCCTAGAAACAAACAAATAATATCCTCAAAAAATCCTTACAGGTGAGTATTGGTTCTCTGATGAGATCTAGGGCTTTGGTAAAGGTCCTAGTCATTCTTTCTTTAAGCAGAAATTCTTAATACCTAATTCCAATAAAAGATTCACAAGTTCAAAATTCTGGCCATAAAATTAAGTTTCCATGAAAGCAAAGATTTTCAATCGGCAAGATGTCATATGGTATACATGTAATAACTATTTTTAAATATGGTTGTTACCCACCATGAGTTGACAATCTGTTAGGAAAACAAACTAGAGCCATTATCAATCATACACACATTTACCCATACAATATACATATATATGATGATGATATTGGGATAATACTGTAAAAATGTTTTGTGGTTGCTTATTTCACTTACTATACTGTCAGCATTTTCTCTACATGTTTAATTATTCTTTGAAGACATAATTTTAAGAAGCTGCATTGCTGTCAATCTCATGGTTATAATGTATTTAGTCAATCTGCTATTGTTGATTATTTAGCTTGCTTGCCATTTTTTGCTACCTGTACACAAAGTCTATGAATAATACAGAGCATCCTTGTACTTACTCTTATCAAATACAGTACTTCTAATTAATTCTCTAGATAAGTGATAATAGAATTGCTGTGTCAAAGGTTATGAACAATGATACACATTGCCAAAATGTTTCCCTGAATGTAACAATATACATTCCTGCTCAATTGGATTTCTCCCTTTAAAAAGAAATGAGGGCCACACACGGTGGCTCACACCTGTAATCCTAACACTTTGGGAGATCAAGGAGGGAGGCTTGCTTGAGCCCAGGAGTTGGAAACCAGCCTAAGCAAGAGTGAGACCCTCGTCTCTACAAAAAATAGAATAATTAGCCGGGTGTGGTGGCACGTGCCCGTAGTCCCAGCTACTTGGGAGGCTGAGGCAGGAGGATGGCTTGAGCCCAGGAGTTCGAGGTTGCAGTGAGCTATGATTGGGTCACCGTACTACTCTAGACTGAGCAACAGAGCGAGACTCTGTCTCCTGGAAAAAAAAGAGAGAGAGAGAAAGAAAGGAATGGGAAAAAAGCCTGTGAATTTGACCGAGGCAAGGCATGTCTTTAAGTTTGCGTATTTACTCAAACATTTATTTTATGACTACACATGTTATGAATGCCATTGTAGTATTTCTGTATTGTTTTGTTTTTGAGACAGGGTCTCTCTCTGTCGCCCATGCTAGAGTGCAGTGGCCTGATCACTGCTCACCGCAGCTTGGAACTCCTGGGCTCAAGCGATCCTCCTCCTGCCGATCCTCCTCCTGCCGCAGCCTCCAGAGTAGCTGGGACCACAGCAGCGCGCCACCACGCCCGACTGCATTTCTATTTAACTGACCTTCCCAACCAGGTCAGCCAGTGGACCAAACCCTTCATCGCCTCTAGAACCTAAGGCAGTGCCTTTTAGACTTCTCTGGGACGAGGAAACCTTTGAGGATCTGATGATACCTACACTCGTGTGCCCAGGAAAAAGCACACACCCACGGAATGTTGCCCACAGTTTCTGAGCATTCGGGAACTTTGTCTGCAGACCCTTCTTTCAGGGACGCATCTCTAGAAGCCTATTTCCCTTGGCTACTTCCTGTTACAAAGGGAACCATACAACCCACTCCCGGGCCGCGCAGCCCCAAACTATAGCCAGAATCGATTCCAGTTCAAAGCGTCACGGCCACCAGCCCGGCTCCACCAGGAGCATCCCTCTAGCTCAAGCTAGGGCCAGGCGGGGGCGTCTGTAGTTCACACGTGTCCAGAGAGGAAACGTAGCACGGGAAACCTCTAGGCGTGCCTGCCTCATCCCTCGGACAAAGCAAACACTTACGAGACATTTTCGTGGCTGTAACCGATTTTGGCGTTGTAGGCTCCATTATCCAGCACTAAGGTCGTCATCTCAGCACCGACCGCACTGCAGCCACCTGCCTTTCCCTTCCCGACCCTTCTGCTCGGGCTTCTTCCCGCACTCTATGGTTTCCTGGGCGGAGCGTTAGGACGCGCTTCCGGTCCCCATAGCAACGGAGGACGCCGGAAGTCAGAGGCTGCGAAGCGGTTTTTCCAATCAGCGAGCATGCACCGTGCTTTCAAACCTAACTTGTTTACGTGGCGGCGAGATTGGACTGCTAAGTGCTTTCCAGCCCGTTTGGTATTTGCTCTTACCTCCGTAGATTGTCTTGGCTTGCAATTTTTCTAACCCCTGTAGCGAACCGGCTGCGTGTTTGTGCGTGAGCGTGTGTCCTCCAATAGTATTGTTCAGTTACATTTCTTAGAGAACAAAGTGCAAAACTATACGAAGCCTGAAATTGGATGAGGTCTCTCCAGTCTCACTCCCCGCCACTCCCTATCCGACTGTAGGATCCACCCACCCTGAACTGCATATATGCTGTTCTGTCAACCCCCTTGCTCTTTTACTCATGTTCACACTCTATTTCAGGGGTCCTCAAACTTTTTAAACAGGGGGCCAGTTCACTGTCCCTCAGATCGTTGGAGGGCCGGACTATAGTTTAAAAAAACTCTGAACAAATTCCTATGCACACTGCACATATCTTATTTTATTTATTTATTTATTTATTTATTTATTTATTTATTTATTTATTTATTTATTTATTTGAGACAGAGTCTCACTTTGTTCCCCAGGCTAGAGTGAGTGCCCTGGCGTCAGCCTAGCTCACAGCAACCTCAATCTCCTGGGCTCAAGCAATCCTGCTGCCTCAGCCTCCCGAGTAGCTGGGACTACAGGCATGCGTCACCATGCGGGGCTCATTTTTTGTATATATATTAGTTGCCAATTAATTTCTTTCTTTTTATAGTAGAGACGGGTCTGGCTCTTGCTCAGGCTGGTTTCGAACTCCTGACCTTGAGCAATCCGCCTGCCTCGGCCTCCGAGAGTGCTAGGATTACAGGCGTGAGCCACCGTGCCTGGCCACATATCTTATTTTAAAGTAAAAAAACAAACGGACAAAACCACCGCATGTGGCCTACAGGCGGTAGTTTGAGGACGCCTGCATTTCCTTTTCTACCTGTTTCTTCAGGACCAACATTATGAGTCCTTTCTCATCCAAAACAGTCTTCTGGAAATCTGACATGCTCCCTCTCCCTTCCCTGGAATTAGGAGGGCCTATGTGCAGCTGAAATGCCCTAGGGTAATCCTTATGTATCATAATGGTAAGAGAATTTTTGAAATCCGGACTCTGCCGCAATATGACTATGTAGCTTTGGATGATGAAGATGATAGTGGTAAAACTTGCACAATGCTTACAGCGTGTGGGTAAGCTGTTAAACAAAAGTTTCATGAATATTAACTAATTTAATCCTTACAACTCTGTGGTTTAAGTACTATTATTGAAATCAAAGAAATAGTGACTAAGAGTGGAACATCTGGATTCAGACTGCTGGGTCAAATCCTAGTTCTGCCACTGACTTGGACAGGTTAGTTAACCACTCTGTGCCTTAGTTTTCTCACCTGTAAAATGGGATAATATTAATAACACACTGAAACTATTAGAATTCTAGAGGAAAATGTTGGAAATTCCCTTCTAGACATTGGCCTAGGCGAAGAATTTATGAAGAAGACCCCAAAGGCAATCACAACAGCAACAAAAATAAACAAATGGGACCTGATCAAATTAAAAAGCTTCTTCACACCCAAAGAAACTGTCAAGAGAGCAAACAGACAACACACAGAATGGGAGAAAATTTTTGCAAGCTACACATCTGATAAAGGGCTGATAACTAGCATCTATTTAGAACTCAGGAAAATCAGCAAGAATAAATCAAACAACCCTATAAAAAAATGGGCAAAGGATATGAACAGAAACTTCTCAAAAGAAGACAGAATAATGGACAACAAACATATGAAAATATGTTCAACATCTCTAATCATCAGGGAAATGCAAATTGAAACCACAATGAGATATCACTTAACTCCAGTGAGAATGGCCTTTATCAAAAAGTCCCCAAACAATAAATGCTGGCATGGATGCCCAGAGAGGAACACTCCTACACTGCTGGTGGGACTGCAAACTAGTTCAACCTCTGTGGAAAGCAATATGGAGATACCTTAAAGCAATACAAGTGAATCTACCATTTGATCCAGCAATCCTATTGCTGGGCATCTACCCAAAAGATCCAATGACACTCTACAAAAAAGACACCTGCACTCGAATGTTTATACCAGCACAATTCACAATTGCAAAGCTGTGGAAACAATCCAAGTGCCCATCAATTCGTGAGTGGATTAATAAAATGTGGTATATGTATACCATGAAGTACTACTCAGCTTTAAGAAACAATGGTGATATAGCACCTCTTGTATATTCCTGGATAGAGCTGAAACCCATTCTAAGTGAAGTATCTCAAGAATGGAAAAACCAGCACCACATGTACTCATCAGTAAATTGGTATTAACTGTTCAACGCCTAAGTGGACACATAGGAGTTACATTTATCCGATGTTGGGAGGGTGCAAGGGAGGAGGAGGGGATGGATATATACAACCAAAGGAGTAAGATGTGCAACGTTTGGGGGATGGACACCCTTGAAGCTCTTACTCAAGAGGGGAGGGGGACATGGGCAATATATATAACCTTAACACTTGTATCCCCATAATACGCTAAAATAAAAATAACGCACTTTTGCAGAATGGTTTTGTTGATCTAAAAAGAAGCTGAGACCAAATTAATATAAATACAGAGTTTATGTGGGCCAAGCTTGGGGATTGTAACCCAGGAGCACAGATTCAAGTTGCCCTGAATATACATTCCCATTAGGAGCAGTTACAAGTGCATTTTTAAAGGAAAAGAAGAGACAGTTCCTAAGTTGTTTACCAATAATTTATGTTAAAATAACAAGCTACTGGCCGGTCGCTGTGGCTCACACCTGTAATCCTAGCACTCTGGGAGGCCAAGGCGGGTGGATTGCTCCAGGTCAGGAGTTCAAAACCAGCCTGAGCAAAAGCGAGACCCTGTCTCTACTATAAATACAAAGAAATTAATTGGCCAACTAATATATATAGACAAAATTAGCTGGGCATGGTGGCGCGTGCCTGTAGTCCCAGCTACTTGGGAGGCTGAGGCAAAAGGATCGCCTAAGTCCAGGAGTCTGAGGTTGCTGTGAGCTAGGGTGACGCCACGACACTCACTCTAGCCTGGGCAACAAAGGGAGACTCTGTCTGAAAAAAACCCCAAAAACCTACAAACTATTGGTTGGCTATACATTGTTCTTTGTACCACAAAAATCCAGCAACATGAAGATAATGGGTGAGGCATCTAGTAAGGAACAAAATGACTTCAAGTAATTGCCCCCTGCCATAGATGTTGGGGGAGCATGACTGAAATTCCATACTCAATGTTTCTCTGGGCCTGGTAAATTTTGCATTCTTCACATAGCTTCAACTGCTCTGAGCTCCTTTTCTCTATAGGGGGGACTAAGTCTCGCTTTGTCACCTGGGCTAGAATACCATGGCATCAGCCATCACACTCATCACAGCAAGCTCAAGCTCCCGGGCTAAAGTAATTCTCCCACCTTGGCCTCCCAGAGTTCTAGGATTACAGGTATGAGCCACTGCACCCAGCTTGAGCGATTTTTCTTTTCTCAATTTTATGAAGACTAAATGATAAAATCAAGTACTTGGCAGTAATTATTATAATATCATTATCCTCCTTTATCAAGATCATTCTTGTTCTTGGCTTCACCTATCATTAAATACTGATGAACCCTAAACTAGAACTTCCACTTCTAACTTTAAACTTACAAAATTTCCATCCAGAAATCCTTAAAGGCAATAAACCCAACACAATCTTATCTCCAAAACAGCTTGTTCCACTTATATTATTTATCTCATTAGTGGTGTGCCCCAAACTAAACACCTCAATTGCCTTCTACTCCTATCCTTGATTTAATCTCTGGAATGTCCTTGACCTTCCTCCACCACTATTGATACTGCCTTATCGCTCACTTGGAGTAATGCCACCACCTTCTCAATGCCTTTCCTGCCTCCATCCTTTTCTCCATCCTCTGTACAGGCAGCATAATTATCAGTGTCAGTAACATTGGGCCACCTATTATTTATAGAAGCTATAAACTTTTGCACTTTTGTCCTTTTCCATAATTGTGTTCTACCTACCTGAAACAAACATCCTTTTCTGCCTAGGGAAATATTAGGTTATTAAGTACAAAATGCCTGGTTTCCTTAAGTACTAAGTTTGACAGTTGATATCTCGGACATTTCACTTTGACACTTCTTGTTTTATTTTTATTGTGAAGGTACACCCTCAGTCTTTCAAACGCTTGTTTTGGCCTGTGGTTATCTTTCAAATGTTTTTTAGAGCAATTTTTGTGACACCATGGATAAGTCAAAAATTCCTGTTATTTTCAAATGTAAGTTCCATCGTGGAACCAATGCAGCACAGACACCTCGAAATATCAATGAAATGTTTGGGAAGGATACGGATAATGAACACACAGTGCATCAATGGTTTGAGAAGTTCCATTCTGGTGATTTTATTTTATTTATTTATTGAGACAGAGTTTCACTTTGTTGCCCAGGCTAGAGTGAGTGCCGTGGCATCTGTCTAGCTCACAGCAACCTCAAACTCCTGGGCTCAAGCGATCCTTTTGCCTCAGCCTCCCTAGTAGCTGGGACTACAGGCATGTGCCACCATGCCCAGCTAATTTTGTCTATATATATTAGTTGGCCAATTAATTTCTTTGTATTTATAATAGAGACGGGGGTCTCGCTCTTGCTCAGGCTGGTTTCGAACTCCTGACCTAGAGCAATCCGCCCACCTCGGCCTCCCAGAGTGCTAGGATTATAGGCATGAGCCACAGCGCCCGGCCCATTCTGGTGATTTTAATCTTGAAAATGAGCCACATCGGTGAAGTGAAACCAAGGTGGATAATGATGAGCTGAAAGCTGTAGTGGAAGCGAATCCATCTCAACCTACGTGTGAATTAGCAGCAAGGTTTGATGTTACTATTCCACCAATATTGGACCATTTGGAACAAATTGGCAAGGTAAAGATGCTGAATAGTTGGGTTCTGCATGAATTAAACAAGTGTAAGAAGAGAAATCATCCTGAAGCTTGCCTTTCTTTGGTGTCATGACATAAAGGTGAACCATTTCTACATTTTGTGACCTGTGATGAAAAATGGATTCCTTTTGACAATTGCAAGCATGCAGCACAACAGTTGGATAAAGATGAAGTGATAAAACACAGCCCCAAAGTGAATATTCATCCAAAAAAACTAATGGTGTCTGTTTGGTGGTCCAGCACTGGTATTACCCACTACAGCTTCATGAAACCTGGGCAATTGATTACAGCGGATGTCTACTGCAACCAACTGGACAAAATGAGGAGATGCTTACAAACTACGTCAATAGTTTAAGCACATACTTTGATTAATTGTACTGCTTCTTGTTTGAGATATAGTAGACTAAACTTTTGATTCAAAATCAGACATTTCATATTTAATGGCCTAATAATAATAATACTAGCTACCATTCTATTACGTCAGGCACTCTGCTAAGTACTTTAGCTTTATTGGCTTGGTTAATCCTCACCACTTCATGAAGGTATATAGCATCACAGGGCTCAGAGAGGGTCAATACTATTCCTATGATTATAGCTAAAAAAAAATCTGCAAAGCTAGGTTTCAAATCCAAGTCTCTGATTACAGGGTCAGTTCTTTTAAGAAATTAAAATGGGCCTAGAATTAGAATGTAATCCTAACACTCTGGGAGGCCGAGGCAGGCAGATTGCTTGAGGTCAGGAGTTTAAAATCAGCCCAAACAAGAGCGAGGCTTCATCTCTACTATAAATAGAAAGAAATTAATTGGCCAACTAATATATGTAGAAATAATTAGCTGGGCATGGTGGTGCATGCCTGTAGTCCCAGCTACTTGGGAGGCTGAGGCAGTAGGATTGCTTGAGCCCAGGAGTTTGAGCTTGCTGTGAGCTAGGCTGACGCCAAGGCATTCACTGTAGCCTGGGCAACCAAGTGAAACTCTGGAAAGAAAGGAAGAAAGGAAGGAAGGAAGGAAGGAAGGAAGAAAGAAAGAAAGAAAGAAAGAAAGAAAGAAAGAAAGAAAGAAAGAAAGAAAGAAAGAGAGAGAAAGAAAGATAGGAAAGAAAGAAAGAAAGGAAGAAAGAAATTAAAATGATTTATTCTCATCTTTGAAATAATACCTCCACTGTAAATCTGTCTCTGAATGAATCACTCCCTCCACTATGTTCTTATAGTACTTTGCTTCGTTTTCAATAATGATAATATCTAGCATTCATTATGAGTATGCTACATGGTAGGCGTCACTTTGTTAAACACTTTAGATAATATTATCTCCAACAGAAGAAATAATTGAGGTTGTGTAATTTGCCCAAGTTTACACAGCTACAAAGTGACTGAGCTGGCATTTGAACCAGTCTAATGACAGACCTGAAGGTCTTAATATTATAATATGAATTTATCTTCCATGCTAGGGTGTTAACTTGGATGGCAGGAATAGATTTTTTTCCTTGCTTTTGTTTAGGTACCCCTAGATACCTGAATATTAGTGCCTGGTCTATATTACATGACAAATGTGAAGTGAGTGCAGTCAACCCACACACCTATTCTTTCCATTCTCCAAAAAAGGGCCAGATTGTTGGACTATCTTTAAACTTGCCTCTCCCTGACCTTTGACCCCCAAGTTCACACCTTCCTAATACACTCCTCAGGGAAAGTGTAATTTCATCATCTCCTCTTTTAGATATCACTGAGTGGTCATTTTCATATCTGAAAAATATTGGTTTGGGAGTGGGTGAGGTGAAAGTGTAAGATTGTAAGTTTTCTCTAGTTCTTTTTTTCTTTACTTTTTTGGTTTAATATGGGAGTGTTACAGTTTCTTTTCTTTTCTTTTTTTGAAGACAAGCTCTCACTCTGTTGCCTGGGATAGAGTGTGGTAGCTTCAGCTTAGCTCACAGCAACCTCAAACTCCTGGGCTCAAGCGATCCTACAGCCTTAGCCTCCTGAGAACCTGGGACTATAGGTGCGTGCCACCACACCTAGCTAATTTTTTCTATTTTTGGTAGATACAGGGTCTCACTCTTGCTCAGGCTGGTCTCTAACTCCTGAGCTCAAGAAATCCTCATGACTCAGACTCCCAGATTGCTAGAATTACAGGTGTGAGCCACTTTGTCCTGCCAAGTTTTCTCTATCTCAACAATTTCCATCCTTTTTTCAGAAGTTTTAAAGTGACATTTACATACCTCTTTATTTTTTAAATTTAATTTCAGAGTATTATGGGGGTACAAACATTTTGATTACATAAATTGCTTTTGTATGATTTTAGTTAAAATTATGTGTACCCATCACCCAGCTAGTGTGCATTGTTCCCATTAGGTGTGAATTTACTCACCCTCTCCTCGCCCCTCCTATCTGCTTGATTTCCAATGAGTTTTATTTCCATATTTAAACATAAGTGTTGTTTGATTACTTCCAATTTAATAGTGAGTACATGTTGTGTTTGTTTTTCCATTCTTCTGATACTTTAGAGAATGGATTCCAGTTCCATCCAGGTTAATACAAGAGTTATTAGTTAACCATTTTTTTTTAATGGCTAAGTAGTACTCCATGGTATACATATACCACATTTTATTAATCCACTCATGTATTGCTGGGCACTTGGGTTGTTTCCACATCTTTGTGATTGTGAATTGTGCTGCTGTAAACATTCAAGTGCAAGTGTCTTTTTTTTTTTTAAATAAAACATCCTCTTTTCCTTTGAGTATATGCCCAGTAGTGCGATTAATGTATCAAATGGTAGGTCTACTTTTAGTTCTCTGAAGTATCTCCATATTACTTTCCACAGAGGTTGTACTAGTTTGCAATCCCATCAACAGTGTATAAGTGTTCCTATCTCTCTATACCCACACCAGCATTTTTGGTTGGGGGTTTGTAGATAAACGCCATCCTCACTGGATTTAAGTGATACATCTCATTGTGGTTTTGATTTGCATTTCCCTGATGATTAGAGATGTTGAGTATTTTTTCATGTTTCTTGGTCATTAGTCTATCTTTTGAAAAGTTTCTGTGGTTATGCAGAAGCTTTTAAATTTGATCAGGTCCCATTTATTTATTTTTGTTGTTGTGATTAGGGTCTTCTTCATAAATTCTTTGCCTAGGCCAATGTCTACAAGAGGTTTTCCAACATTTTTCTTCTAGAATTCTTATCGGTTATGCCTTAGGTTTAAGTCTGTTATCCATTGTGAATTAATTTTTGTCAGTGGTGAGAAGTGCAGATCCTGTTTCAGTCTTCTTGTGGCTATCCAATATTCCCAGTACCATTTATTGAATATGGACTCTTTTCCCTAGTGTATGTTTTCATCTGCTTTGTCAAAGATCAGATGGCAATATGAAGATGGTTTTATATCTGAGTTCTCTGTTCCTGTGCCAGTAACATATTTTGGTTATGATAGCTTTGTAATATAGTTTGCAGTTTGGTAAAGTGATGCCTCCCAATTTGTTACATACTTCTTTAGATACAACCTAGTGAAGTGGATAGGGCTGATTGATTAACCTATTTCACAGATGATTAAAGTGATGCTAAATGTAAAGAGATAATTTTCTCCAGGATTACACAGCTGGAAAATACTAGAGCCAGGTCTTGAATTCCTAGGTCCTCCCTAGACTCTACAAAGACACCTAGTCAACTTTTACTTCCCTTAGGATTGGAATAACCAGAGGAAACATGAAATTATAGCACTCAGGTAAGGGAAAGGCAGAATATCTTAGCAAAGGGGAAGGAATCCAGGGAAGAACATGACGAAAGAGAGTCGGACAAAAGCAGAGTCACTCGTTGAGCAGTTATACAGAGGAAATGAAAAAGAGAAGTAGGAGGTGGAAAGACAACTCAGTGATGGGTGCGGGATCAAGAGCAGCGGGAGATTAGGGAAGGATTAAGGCCCAAGAAGATTCTAGAACTGGGACTCAAACAACTGGTCTCCGGAGAGCCCAGGACCCCGGCTCCAGCCTGGGGCGAGGGGGCGGGGCCTCGAACCTCTCGCCCCGCCCTCCCCGCCCAGCGCCCGCCTCGCGCCTCTCCGCTCCCGCCGTCCCCCAGGTCTCTTAGGTGATGCTGCAGCCAAGATGGCGCCGGCGGCGTCCGCAGCGGCTTGAGCGTGATGCTTCGGGTCCTCGGTGGCGGCGGTGGTGGCGGCAGCGGCAGCGGCGAGCTCGGCCGCGGCCTGGCGTCTCTCCCGTGCGTGAGCGCTCAGGCGCCTGTCCTGCGGCCGGGTTAGCCGGGACAGAGAGGAGACGGCCACGGAGACAGGAGGCAGCAGGGAACGGAGCGAAAGCGCGGCGCCTCCCGCCTCGGCACCATGGCAGGGATCATCAAGAAACAGATCCTGAAGCACCTCTCCAGGTCAGTGGGCTCCCGGAGCCTGGGGGCCGGCCCGCCCGCCTCCGCCCGAGTCCGCACTGGAGTCGGCCCGCGGTCTCGGGGGCGGCGGGGGACTGGCAGCGGTGCGGGGGGCGACCCTTGGACTTCCCCGCTCGCCGGGGCAGAGGTCGCGGCCCGGGGTCTGCCGTCGCCTGCGCCGCCCGGGGTGGCCTCACGAGTCTGCCCGGTGGCGTTCTCCTCCGGCCGGGCTCGCGGAGGGGCGCGCAGGGCGGCGAGCTGGGACCGCTCCCGACGCGGCGTCTGGGGGGCGTCCCGGGCCGCTCGGGGCGGTCCTGCGCGGAGGCTGGCGGTGGCCTGGCGTCACCAGGTGCCTGGGCGGTGTGGTCGCCGCGAGCCGAGCGCCGTGCTCGTCCCCCTCGGAGCACAGCGGGTCCGTTACCCGAGGGCGTTTGGCGCAGTGTGGACTCCGAGGTCGTGTTCTCGGCGAAACGTCACCCTTGTTATTGTTCTGAGTGGCCCCCACCTCGGCGGTGTTCCCCTCTGATGCGGCAGAGGGTGTGCCTGTTTGCTCAGTTAGGATTTGTTTTAGGTAAATAACCAGAGTTCCCAGCTCTGGCAAGTTCTTTCTGGAGTCGTTTCAGTCTCACATCATTCTTACGGATTTTTGCTCTTTTTCATCCGAGACTCTTAAATTCAGAGACCTAACATCTGTGGTGGTTAAACCCCAGGATATGTCATTCTTTCCATTTCATAACGCGGTTTTAGTCAGAAACATGACTCAGTCAAGCTGGCAGTTTGTTGCTGCTCTTGGCTTCTCCATATTTGTCTTAAGACACAGGCTAAAAATGTAGGATCTTCTTCCAAGCTGTTAACCGGGAATTGAAAGCGCTGGGTTAGGATCCGTTTCTCCTATTCTGTTATTTTTAAGTTAATGATTACTTTTAATTGACTTTAGGAAGAGTCTCCTGAGAGACTGCTAATGAAGATGTTAGGTACAATGATAGATTTGTATAGTAAACATAATTCTTGATTCTCCAGCTTGTTTTATACCACAAGTTACCTATTGGGGAATCAATACTTATGTGATTCAGCAAATATTTTCATCTCTTATAACATTGAGTAAGATACAACATAGTTTCTTTTTAAAGTAGCAAATTGTAGCAGCGTTTATGAATATACATTTGTTAGTGATAACTAATTGGAAAGTGTCTTTTAAAATTGTACATGTGGTTCAATACTGAACCATCTTAGTTTGGAAGGTTTTATCTATTATTTGGGTAAAGTCTGACTTTTGTAATCAGATGGCCTCCAGCCTTTCTCATACCCAGTTTGACAAGAATATTCAGATCTAAAAAAAATGTTTGGAATACTTATTTTCCCACTCTCCCAAGGATGATAGTAAATAGAACCACTCTAGATGACTAGGAGAAAAGTTAATTCAATCAATATGTGTCTTTAATTCTTTTGTAGAATTCCATTTGAGAAGGACTCTTAAACATTAGGAGAAAAGTTGTAACTGTAACATAGACAACACCCACACAATCAAAATTGAGGCCTCAGGATTACTTTTTAATCTGTATGGTTTCTAATGGCTCTGTGATTAATAGTAATGAGGCTTTTTTTTCAGAGATGAATTTTTGAAACTGTTGAGTTTTCAGTTATTTCACATTTCAAAATGTCCTTAATTTAGGTGACTGAAGAGTATCGAATTCTTATTTTTGGTCAGTGTATTAATCTTAGTGTTAATTGGTATCATCTCCTAAGAAAAATGCAGTTATTCATAAACCTAAAGGCAATTCATAATAGATGAAACAATGTAGATGCTGTGATAAATTATAGTTGTTCAAGTAGGAATGAACTTTTGAAATTACCTGGGTCAAATTTAATTTTATAGATTATCTAGTAATGAAGATGTTAGTATATTGATCTAGTGGTCTGGAATACAATTTAATAAGTTTAATAGGAAACACTTAGAACGTATCATTTTCTAATAGCAGACAACTCATGTGGCCTGTGCATGCAACCCATTGCACCTTCTCAGAGGAGGCCTTTCCTTACCAGACTTTAAAATTGTGAGCTCCTGTGCTTCCTGTCCCTCTTGCTTGCTTTATTTTCCTCCATAGTACTCATCTTCATCTGTCATAATACATATTTCTTTGCTATTTATCTCTCTACACTTTAATGTAAACTGCATGAGGGCAGGGATTTTTGTCTTGAGGCTGGCATAAAGTATGTACTTAACAACTATTTGTTGAGTGACTGGATGAGCTGGCTGTCCCTCATATTGCTGTTCTTTTTAACTGAGGCAAGACTGTATGCCACTAATATTATTGAGATTTGGGATGACCAGTTTCCCTGAGGTTTTAGGAGTTAATAGGTAATTGAGTAATTGAATAAATGTGCCTTTGGAGTTCTGGAAAGGAAGAACTAGCAAAAATGGCCTAGCTGGTATAGGGTCTTATAAGGGGGGTGTTGGGGAGTCTTCCTGTAAGAAAATGACCTAGTTATAACATGGGGGGAGAGTTTTCCAGCAAGGAAGAAGATTATGTAGAAACCAATATGAGTAAGAATGCTCACTCTTAGCTGTGGGATTCAAATGTAGTGCAAGTGCAAAATTAAACTTGTAGGGGCCAACAGGAAACTTTACCTTTGCTCTCTGAAGATTTGCTGAAAAATCAATTCACAAAAGGCAGATTAATTGGAGAAAATGCACACACTTATTTAATGTGCACTTGGGGAAAATCGCAGAGTGATTGCCCACCCCTCTGCAGGGTTCAGGAATTTATATATCATCCTGGTAACACAGATTATGGGGGTGGGAGAGAGAAGAGAAATTCTGTTGAGGAGCAACAAAGGACTAATAAGGGGAATGGATCAGACCACAAAGATTAATTTGTAAATAGTCATTGCAGGTGATGGTCTTCAAACATTTTTGGTTTTATAGGGAGGGGAAGAAAACAAAACAATTATCCTTGGTAAGTCTGGATTTTAGGTAGATAAAGGGACTTCAACTTCTTTGGGAGAGATGGTGTGGAAGGAAGGTCAGAGAGACCTTGAAGCTTCATTTCAGTATGTCAAAGTGCCATATTTTGGGGTGCTGGTTTCTGAGCCTCAACAAAACCATCATTGCCCAGATGTAAGGACTTGAGAAGCTGGCATATTGGGAAAGAGGAATTGTTCAGGAATGTTCTTAAGAGATTAACAAATGCTTTAAGTAAATGCTAGACTATGTGAGAAGTGTAAATCTATATACTTGTTCCTTGCCTACTTATTTAGTTTGTATTCTAAGCATCTCTTGCTTTGTTAATAAAAAGATTATGTACTTGATTAACCTGAGACGAGGACAAGGGAGTGTGTTTGGGGGGAAGGGGAGGTTAGAGTAGTTACTCTTTAGGAGAGGTAAAACAACAAAAGCCTTTGAAGGAGAAATTATCTCCATCCTTCAGATTATGTCAGCATAGAATATGTTTTGAGGGATTTTCTAAGAGAGACCAGGGAGGATGCTAAAACATCCTACAATGCACAGCACATTCCCCCACAGCAAAGAATTATTTGGCCCAAATGTCAGGGGCTCTGATGTTGAGAAACTGGTTTAAAGTATGCAGATGTGTGTCATATGATTGAGCTAGGGCACTATGCTAGTTAAGGTTATTTTGTCTGCAAACAACCAAAGCCTGCTCTATTTAGGTAAAAAGAGAAGTATAACAGAAAGCAGAAGATCTGAACAACCAAACCAGGGAAAGAGCAGGAAGCATCCAGTTTCTAGAATCTCACTGGAAAAGGTCTTAGACCTTCTTCTTACAGTAAGATATTAACCTCCACGCTATTGACTTTATTTTTTCTTTGATAGGTCTCATTCTGTGACCCAGGCTGGAGTACAGTGGCATGATTATAGCTCACTGCAAGCTTGAACTCCTGGGTTCAAGTGATCCTCCTGCCTCAGGAGGATCAAGGGCTACAAGAGCTTGCCACTACACCTGGCTAATTTTTAAAATTTTTTGTAGAGATAGGGTCTCACCGTGTTGCCTAGGCTGATCTCGAACTCCTGGGCTGAAGGGATCCTCCTCCTGCCTTGCCTCATCCTCCCAAAGTGCTGAGATTATCAGCCTGAGTCACCACACCAGCCACTATTGATATTTTGAACTAGATAATTCTTGTGGAGGGCTGTTCTGTGCATTGTAGGATGTTTAATACCTCCAGACATTGTGAAATATCCCCTGGGAGGCAAAATTGTTCCTGGCTGAGAACCACAGCTTTAGGGTGCTATCCCATCTTCCACAACTCCCAATCTCTGATTTCTCTCATCAAGTTTCAGATTCCTTGAAGAGAGAACCTGTGTGACCCAGTTCTGTCTATCCATCGATCAATTAGCAGTGACAAAGGGTTGTACTGCAAAAATATGGTTATGGGGAGAATTATTTGAGTCAGGCTTATTGCTCCATTTGGCATCTGTAATAAGTGCTGAACTAAATCATATTTTCAAGGGCCTCTCTTACTATGTTAAGGAAATCAAATTTCATCCTGGGAGCAGGGAGTGACTGCTAATAAAGATAAAAGAAGAAGTCTGGGTTTTGGAGTCTGAGGTTCAGGAGCATTTCTGGGGTTGAAATATAGTATACAAATGGACTCTGAGTAACTTCAGTAGAAACCTAATGTATTGGAGGGACATTGATGTCCCACAGAACTTACAGAAAATTGGAGAACAAGACTTAGAAACAGAGTGGAACAGTCCAGCTCCAAGGATCTAGGTAGGAGAAACTGCTGGATAGTCTCAAGATAACTTGTTCCTTAAACTGAGGGGAAGGAACACTTTAAAGAGGGAGAATGGCCTAAGAAGATTGTTGAATGTTTTGAATATTTGTTATATATGTTAGGAAGGGTTGAACACTTGAGGATTTTGTGGCCGAATGGCAAAGTGATAAGAGTTTAGGTTGTCTCACAATGTGTTGATGGACTAGGCCTTTAGATTTAGGACAGGTTAGGATAGAAAAAGGAGGGTAGCAGCTGATAGTATGGAGAGA